AAAGTCGAAACCTAAGCTCTAGATGGTGAAACCTCTGTCGAAAGTCGAAACCTCAAATTCTTCTGACAAAACTGCAAAGGGTGACAAAACTAATAAAAGATGAACAGATAAATGTTGTTGAAACTCATTGAAAATAAGGATACATATTATTTCACCGACAATCACTTCATAGTTCACCGACAATTAATTCACAGACAAGTACAATTTTTTCACTGACAGCTCTCACCGACAAGTATTTTTTATAAATTACACTAATCTTAACTCTAATTCTAATCTGATACTAACAACAATGACCAAAATTACTTTGTCGGTGAAATGTTGTCGGTGAAATTATTGTCGGTGAAATTATTGTCGGTGAAATGAACTTGTCTGAAGCAATTGTCGGCGAAATGCACACCACCCGAAAAGAATGTGAATAAAAAATAAATTACAAAACTAGAAAATTTATAAAAATTATAAACAAATGTGAGTAAAGGCGCCTTGGCTTTCTATATTTTATGTTCATAAAGGGCTAAAATTTAAAATATACAATTTATACTTATATTAATTTTAATAAGAAACTTAATAATCAATTAAGTAAATCAGCACAAATAATAAATTAATAATAAGCATAGATTATTTTACATACTTCAGTATTTCGATTAAAAAATAGTTGTTATGTCTATTGGCTAAATTGACTTTAATAAAAGACAAATTAGCACACACAGGTCGAGCTTTAAAACTTTGATAAGATTTTGGCATCAGCGGAATATTGGATGCTTATAAACTGACAACGACCAGATATTTGGCGCGTATCGCATCCTATCAAATCCGATTGGCCTATTAGACATATGATACTTATATCTTAAAATATCAGATATTTGATATTTTGTTAATAGAAGCGTCAGATCACTAATATACCTATCTGATGCAATATCTATTCGATAGGTAACAATACGCGTCAAATATAGGGTAGCTATCAGCTTTATAAACGTTTTATATTCCACTAATATCTCACAGAAATCTTGTTGAAAATTTGAAGTTCGATCTGTGACGGGTTTACCACAAAATCTCGAAAACCATTTCCCGAAAGAATATTATACCGACTAAATTGGTCAGCATTATAACTAATGCCGGCTAACTTTGTCGATATTGGGTCCTTTCGGGATTTTGTGGTAAAACCATCTGTGACAGATAATAAATTAATAAGAGGTGCATACATTGTTTTTAGATCTTTGATTATTGTTGTATTTGCCAATTAAATAAGAAACTTAATAAAAAGAGATCTATTGTCACATGGGAAATTTGACCACAGCAAATTAACCCGATTCATGTGACCCCGATATAGATTGATGATTTCCAAGATCCACCAAATTACTAATCATGTTACGCCTTTCGTTCTAATTAGCACTTTCGTACTAAGTTAATGAATGCAATATTAGTTTTATAGACTTAATTATTTTGATCAACTTAGTATCAATTAGAGAATAATAGTGTTACTTAACTTAGTTTCAAAAATTATGTATATAAGGCCTATAAGTTCGCCTTTATTTATCAGACTTTGTTTTCTTTGAACATTCGAATTCTCTATTGAGTAGATTAGTTTTCTCATCTCTTTTGTATTTATTGTCCCAGGTTTTATTCAATAAAATAGATTGTGTCTTCATACACGTACAGATAAAATCTAAAAGCTGATAAGAAAAGACAAGTAGTTATCACGTGATTACGTGAAGAATGAACTTGCATTGTGTTAGTTAGTTAAAATAATACAATCCCTTGTATCTTCATATACAAAAGAATTGTTTACCTCTTTCGGCAAAGCCTATTAAATCCTCTTTAGATTAGTTGATAGTTTTCAACTTTCTTCATAGACATAATTTTGAGTTATTTTGATTTAAAAATTTTGATATTTTTTGTAACTGCCCGGCGACAAATAGATTCGCCCATATTTTTAATTTACTATGTGTATAAGACTATACATATATTTGATCTACATAGGACATTAAACACCCCCCTGAACCCGATATAGAGGTGGGTTTAGTGTTGACACTATACATACGTACTGTAACTTCTACAGGGAGATCCCCAAAATTCCAGGTCGGAAACTTCAGAACTCTGGTCGGAAGGGCCGGAGTTGATCGACTTTGCCCCAAGATCACTAAGAATTTTACTAATAAAACAATAGTCGTTCATTAAGTGAAAAGTGCCCGGCTGATAATTTTACTATAGCTATAGCTCTCGCTAACCCTAACTCAGCCCTAACCCGACCCTAACCACGACGCATTCCGGCCATTCCGACCCGGAATTTTGGGGATTCCATTCCCCTGTAGAAAATACGTAAACGTAAAACGTAAATACGTACAGTATGCTAAAATTTTTGCCGATTACTTGTTCCAGCCAATCAGATGCCAGAAAAGAACTATACGTACAGTACGTACTGTACGCTAAAATTTTTCAGGTATCATATAAATATCACATCACTAGTTGACACCATATTATTTCACCGCATCCACAAGTTTATTTTACTGAAAGTCTATTTATTTTACTGAAGCTTATTTCACTAACAAGCTTTTTTTATAAATTACACTAATTTAATTCTAACATGAACCTAATAATAATGACCAGAATTACTTGTCTGTGAAATGAGTTTTGGTGAAATAAACTGTCGGTTAAATATATTTGTTAGTGAATAATTGTCAGTGAAATATGGTATCAATGAATTGGTCAGATCCCAATAAAAAGTGAAATTAATAAGAATCATGAATTATAGTATGTTCTATCAATTTTCTAAAGTAGCATAATATAAAAATTTACAGGATTTATTTTTATTAATAGCTTAGCTTTGCTGAAAACATAGTTTTCATATTAAATACATAGATTTTTAGTAATATTCACTTTTTTTTTAGTGGGAGCACTAGGGTTTTGTCAGTTTAAGTTTGGGGTTTCAACTTTCGTCATAAGGTTTTGAGGGTTTTGAGTCTCGTCAGAAGAATTTGAGGTTTCGACTTTCGACAGAGGTTTCACCATCTAGAGCTTAGGTTTCGACTTTCGTCTAACAACTATAAGAATACTTCAATATATCGAACGATGAATTTCAAAAGTAACCAAAACACTAAAAAGAAAAATAGAATACGTGTGGTGACCTTCACGGTCCACGTATGAGAAATATTCAAAATCGACGAGATTATCCGATCTTCTCCTAACACGTCATTTGTACCTTTCGGGAAAGTATTTATGTATTTTACTTAACCGTTTTTTATTTATTTTATATGCAAGCAAAGGACTTTTTATTATATTGCAAGTGAAAGTAAGTAGACCCTTTCTTTTATTTTATTACGCCTTAAAAAACTGAAAAAGAGAAACTAACTTCTAAATTAATCACATCATATTTGATTCTTTAATACTTAAATCAATTCTTAATTACATCATAAATCGATCTTATAATATTTGACTTTTTCTTATTACACATATCTTATGCGGCATAATTAATTCCGGGTGATTAATTACCCGTGACCCGATCGACAATGCATGTGTTACGACGAAACTCGAAACTAATTCACTACATTCCACCTTTTGTGATTTTTTTTTTTTTTTATCGAACCGACATTACGTAAAAAATACCGTGAAAATAAAAAAAATAAAATAAAATTTCGTACCAAAGTCGAGAAATATCTATGGCCACTTTTCAATTACATATTTACATCTAATTGCCGAGAATTTTTTTTGTTACCAAATTTTCAATCACTCCAATCCAATCGAATTGTCCATCCTTCAACATTCGGTCCATCTGTATTGTCTGTTTTACTTCATCCCAATTGGATTGAAGGAATAAAATAACGATATTTTGCAATTTTTCTTCATTGATCTTCAAAGAAAATTTTAAAATCTGATCCCAAGTGTGAATGTCCACCACTCCACCAATTCGGGCTATAACCATTTCTTTTAAATTATCTAAATGCATTGTCACAGAATCAAAATAAAGATTTTGTAATTCGTCTAGCGATAATTCTTTTTCTAGCTTATCAGTATAAAGATAGTATGTAATTGCCTTAAAAACTGGGAATTTAATGCCTTTAACATGAATTGGCGTTGTTCCAGGGACCTTTAAATAATGAATCAAAACATTCTGAACGACTTGCAAGAAAAAGTCGATTCGATTTAATTTTAGAACCACAATCAAATTTAAACTCGGTATCGCAGTATTTTTCATCCATAAAAAATTTTTCGAAAGAAGTTAAAAATGGTTTTGTTCTTTCATTTAAAGAATCTCTCGTAAATGGAACCTCATTGATGATATGCACTCGTATAATTAATGTAACATTGTTATGATCCTTTCCGTCTGCAAAAATTTCGGTAAAAGGTACAAGCTTTCTAGTACCTAAAGTATGGGAATCATCCTGACTTTCAAAAACGAAATCAGACTTTTTAAAACTTCTTGAAGCAATAAGTGTAGGTTTCTTAGATTTAGCATCAGAATTATCAACTCGAAACAATTCGAACCAAAATCGTTGAACTGTTCTTGATTTAACTTGGTTCCTTTTTTCGTACTCTGACCGAGAAGTCGTAAGAAATACCGCTAAATGATCAGGTTCATTCACGTAGCCATGCGGATAAAGAACGAGACGCCACCATTGAATCGGGTCTTTCGCACCAGTTTTCGGATCGATAGTAAAAGGTTGGGGAGAAGCAAATCTTTCACTCATAATAAAAGCACCTGTTCCCATGCGAGTATATAGATCCTGAAACTCTTTAACTGACCACGTATAGATTGGCTCGCTTGAAGTTTTATTTAATACTTCTACCGCTTGTGAGCTCGCCATTTTAATTATCTAAAACTTTCAGTGGTAAGAAAACAATTCTGTAAAAAAGAAAATACGCATAAATCAAAGTGTAGCATACCGATACGCTAATTTACAGGATTGTCCAATAATATCACAAGATCAGATTAACGGTAGATAGAAAAACAACGTTCTTGTTAGAATAAAGAACACTAATTATAGCTAATTTCATAAGAAGTTAATTCACTGTTCTCATGAATTTTAAAAGCGACCCACCTACTTGGCTCTTAATTTTTCGTAAAAAAATCCCGAATCAACTAAAAAAATTCCTGGTACGTTGGAACCTTTCGTTTCATTGTTACAGAATTTATAATAATTTATATAGTAAATAATTTAGTTTTGTATAAAAAATTGATCCGTCTAGGTTATTAATAATTAACTTTATATGGTTAAAATACTGTATATATGAAGTTTTATTTTTATCTCAATTAGAAATATATACTGTAGTATATGCAGTAGAGTTTGGAACCAGTTTTATTTTTCATATGTTAAAACCGGTTTTAATCATATGAAAAATAAAACTGGTTCCAAACTCTAATACGTATGCAGTATATATATATTTTATTATATATATAATCTTTTATATAATTTTTATTTTTTTACATATATAATCCTTTATTAAATATTAATTCTTTGTATTATTTTTAGTAATAATATTTAAATACAAATATTTTTAAAAATAAGTTTATATATTAAATCTTTTTTATATAAAATTTAAAAAATTGAGCAAAAAGAAAACTTATACTTATCTCGACAAAGTTCGCACCCAAATCTCCATTCAGGTATCAAGTCAACTTCCAAGACCTATGTAAAAAAAGAAAACTAGTAATCGATTGAAATCATCAGATTTTAATCGATTACAATCAGTTTTCAAAATTTCCTGATGTGTGTTATTTTAGATACTATATTGCACCGATAAATATTGCAGAATCAAATGAAAATGATTGTAATTTTGTCTTTGTAAAGATAAACATTTTAATTAATACCGAATAAATATTTCATTAAATAACGCCTTTGCTGAGTTGCCTTATCATATTAGTTAATTTTATTCTATATTTCGGCCCTACAATTCATTCCATAACCAATGAATGCTAATAAAAAGTCACATCACCAATTATGCGCATTCCCGAGAAACTCCTTTAATGGAGTCAACAAAATCTGATTAGTTTTTCTGATACAACTAACTAACTAGATTCTTTATAATTCATTGAGCGAGGTTTTATATTTCTGCACCTTTACATAAACCTTACAAATTTTCATATGGAAAATTTTTTGTGGAACTGCTAATGACAAATGTGTAAATTGGGCAAATATATGTAAAGAAATATAGTAGATTGTAACTATAAACCAGAACATGATCATGCGGGTGGCTCCGCCGACTGGTTTACTTAAATTATTATGAATAAGGCAGCTTACAATTAAATCTATTATAACAATAGGTTATCAATAGGGTCAATTAACTATAGTTTGATTTTTATTTTAATTCCACTAATGCGATACAAGATATAAATTTTGATTCAAATTTAGATGTTGTGCTGTGTGAAAAACCAGGGGATATATTATATTAAAATTGGTAAATAATTATATTCACGGATCTTATTCACGAACATAAAGCGTGTATATATACGTACTGTTTAAACGTTATTTTTGACAATATAATTTTTTTTACCAAATTTGGGGACAAAGTTTAGTAGTACGGATAAAATCTCATTTGTCGTTCATGAAACGAATGAACAAAATAAGTAAATCGATACGTAGAGCTGCAATTTATCCATATCTGAATTTATTTACTATTGACAATACTAAAACGGTTAGTGAGTAATACACGAATCTGTATTATTTTTGTGTAGGTAGCAAAAAAAAAAAAGTCGCGACCATGTGATCGCCGACCGTTTCCAACCTATATGTTAATTTTTGTGGGCGTAAATTTTTTTGGAACAAATTAAGCTAACACTAGATTTATTAATTTGGGATTTTACTTAAATAAAATCGGGAATAAGAAGAGTTACGAGGATAAGGTTTGACTTTATTAAGTGTAAATTAAAAAAATAGCTTTTTTCCCGATTAGAATTAATAAATTTACATATCGATACATTATGTTAGTGTTCCTCCGAACCTAGGTTAAGTTCAGGTTCTGAACTGAACCTATGCTAAAAAAGTAGTTCGAGTTCAGTTCAATATCGAACTTTAATGCATGTTCAAGTTCAGTTCAGGTTCAGTTTGAAAGTCCATGACTTGTTTGGGTTCAATATACACTGGCGATCAGAAAAAAATAAAATTTGGTTAGATCAAATTATTTTGTGCAATTCTAGACACATCTTCTTTCTTTTTTTTTAATCTTGTTATAGTTTTTACATACTGTATAAAAAATTTAAAGGGTTAAATTTTTTAAATTTTTTATGAGTATAAGCTTTATTTAAAACATGTTGTATTATTTATGCTTGTTTTTAAACACAATATGAATCTAAAACAAAAATTTTTATTTATTTATAAAAAAAAATTTTTTAATCTTAATATTTTATGACTGCCACAATATAGTATATTTATCTTATACCTTGAAACTCTACAAATTTGTTCTGAATTGAAATTAATTAATTAATACAGATACCAAGTTTGATTTTTAATAAAACTATCTAGATTTTGCTCTAAAGATCTTTTTTTACTTGAAATCTGCCCAAATATTTTCAAACCAATAGTCAACCTTGATCTATAAATGATTACTAAGATAGAGGTCAGAAAATAAAAAAATCAAATTAAAACTTTATTTGTTTTTAAACAGATATTTTATAAACATCATATTATAATTGTCATCATTATTCTACTAAAAAAATAATTATTTTAAATATCAAATTCATGATATCTAACATTTTATAAAAAATATTCATAAAGAATTTATTAGTATAATTTATTACAAAGGCCATTAAGATCACTAAATATAACATAGCACTATTTTCTTACATACCTGTCTTAAATCTCAGCTTAAACTTGATATAGAAACAAATTAATAAATTTTCAAAATAAATTAAATAGTATTACTTATTATCTGGGTTAAAAAATTTTGTATTTTAACTTGTCAGACCAAATAACCTTAGACCAGTTCTTGATATATTAATTTTCATATTTCTTTAAGAATTTGAGTCACTATTTTTATAGATAAGACTTTTTTGCTTAAGTTTTAATATTAAATCATAATTTTTTAATTTATAAAAAAATAAAAATGTTAATTATCTTTTATTTTTTTAGAAAATTATATTTTAACAGTAATTAAATAACAATAGAAAAATAGATAATTTAAAAGTTTTGTTAAAATTTGTTTATTTTAGCAAGTAACTAACAAACTCTTACTAATTCTTTATCCCTTAAGTTGTAGAGTTCGTGTAACAATTTTAGCTTAAAAATAGCATAAATTTAGT